GGGCACAGACTGACATCCCTCAGAAGAGGGGATGGGGGGTGGGGGGGTGGGAAGAGATAAACCACAGAACTTATATGCATGTATGCATGACCAATAAACATGGACAACTAAGCTGGGGACAGGGTGGAGGGGGGATAGGGTGGGGGTTGCCAATGGGGTAAAAAGGTAAAATATCTGTAACAAAAAAATAAATAAAAATTCATATATATATATAAAAAAATTATATTAAAAAATTAATTTTCTAGTTACAGAAATGCAAAAATAGACATGCTGCATTCCAGAATTTTAAAAACTACTCTTCTATCTCTTAGAGATAGCTAAACCAATTTAAACTAAATTTAAATTTAAAAATAAAGTACTCCTGAACTCAAAAAAAAAAAAATGGAAAAATATCCTCGGGTGAGGATAAAAAAAAAAAAAAAAAAAAAATCACTTTAAAAAAAATTCACCGACGGCTCTGAGACCTGGCTCCCAGCATGTCTCCAACTTCTCCCATAATGCCAGAAGATTCCAAGGTTTAACTACATGACCCATTTATCAATTTAGCCTTGAAATATCTGGAACACCATAACTCAAATGCCCTTCCCTTCAACTCTACTTTTGCTATCCCCTCCCAGGGCCACACCTTGGATTCTGTCATCACCTGAATGCACTGACCAGAACTTTCATTCTGCCAACTTTCCCTTTACACTAAATCCTCAAGCTCACAGTGCCCTCTCGTTGTTTAATTGTGCCACTTTCTCAGTCCATTGAGCCCCTCACAACATCTCTTCCTTTCTAATCCAGCCCAGACTTCATGGCTAAACATCTGAGTTTTTATTTTTCCATGAGCAATCTGATCCCTTGCACTACTAGTCTTCTGATGTATTTGTCAGTCAAAACTTCAACCTTTCTCAATGATCTACTCTTAAATCCAAAACAATAAGCACTACAGGAGATAAATCCCACAGCTGTGCTGACTGACATCTCTGTGAATTCCTGTTCCCTACTGAACAGAGCCCTCAAAGGACCCACTATGCAATTTTTCTTCTTAGAAATGTACCTTGTCCTCACTTTCTTTCCTTTAATCTCAGAAAATAAAGTCTCTCTGTCTATTCCAAATTCATTTGTCAACATTTTCTAGAGCAAAATAACTAATCCAAGAGGACAGCCACTCAGCTCTGCACACACCAGCACTCTCGGGCTGCAAGGAGGATTCGAGCACACCACTCGGGCTGTGGTTAAGCAACACGAACAAAAGGATGGGGAGAGGATTTTACTCATCTATGAGAGGTGTGTAGCACTGGCTGGAACACAAGCTTCAGATTAATCTGACCTGGGACTGAATCCTAGATCTACTTGTTAATCACCACCTTAGTCCCGTTTCTTAACCTTTCTAGCCCTTGTTTCCACATTGAAAAATAAGTATAAAGAATAATATCACAACTTGTCAGACTGTCATAGGAATTAAATAAACTATTTTGTGTAAAGCTCATAGTTTCTCAACAAACCTTTATTAAATGAGTGCAGAAGCTGTGGGTCTGGGAATCAAACCCCAGACTCTTTGGTCCACAGGCTGTTGCTCTAACCACTGAGACAAAGTTGCATTTTATATGCGCTGTGTAAATTATGTTCAAAAGATATATTTTTATAAAAATTTTAAATGCATGTAACTTTTAACAAGAAGATAAACAAAAACAAAATCAAGATAATCCATCTACCCTTGGCCATGACCTAATTTTTTCCACTCTTCCAGGAGACATTTTAATCACCTCTTCTGTGGCATCTACGAATCTATTCAAATCCTTTCTATTCTTTTTTATTTACTTTTTTTTTTATCTTCACCGGAGGACATTTTTCCATTTTTTGTTCAGATAGAGTGGGAGGGAAAGAGAGGGAGAGAGATAGAAACATTAACGTGAAAGGGACACATCGAGTGGCTGCCACCTGCACAACCCAACCAGGGCCGGGGACAAACTGCAACCGAGGTACGTGCCCCTAGCGGAAACCGAACCCGGGTCTCTCTGGACCACAGGCCAACACTCTAACTGCTGAGCCAAACTGGCCAGGGCAAATCCTTTCTATTCTTAAAGAAGAACAAAACAAAACTGAATCTATTCTTAAAGTTTTTATTCCATTGGCTTCTGGGTGTATTTTTGCACAGTGCTTTCTCTAGCCGGACCTTCAAATGTTGACAGGTCAGAGTTTTACGCCATTATTTTCCTGGTCTACACACTCTTTTTGGACATCTCATAAACTCTTCTAAATTCAACTCCTATGTAATCACTGATAGCCTCCAAATCTGTACCTACAGTACTGGCCTCTATTGACCCAAAGACAGCTCAAACTCAACATATTCAAAACTAAAATTACCTGCATTCCCTCCTAACTGGACACGTCCAGGCTTCTGTAATTCAGTTGGTGGTATCAGGCCATCAGTCATTCAAACTAGGAACATGGAAGTCACCTATAGCTACTCCTTTCTCACTACCCAACAATCAATCAAATTCTGCCTATTTTACTTCCTAAATATTTCTCAAATTGCCCCTCTTCCCACCTCTATAACAATGTCAAAGTTCAAGGCCTTTGCTTAGTTTCTGCAACACATTTTTCCCGGCCTTACAGAATAAAATATAAGACTCTTAATCAAACACACGATGCCCCTGCCTATTTATCTGGGTTCATTTGTTATTACTGCTAGCCTCAAATTTTGTTTTAGCAAAAAATAAATGACCCACAGTTCCTGACCTATATGTCACACTATTTGTTGTCTCTGAGCTTTTGCTCATACTGTCTCCTCTGCCTGAAATGATTGTCTTTCTCTCCCTTCTTCTTGAAATTCCTACTTATCACTAAAAGGAGTTCCGGTGCTAAGTTATCTAGAAAGCTTTTCCTGAGCCTATCTCCCTTCCATTAAGGTTAGGTGTTCCTCTTCTGTACTCTCGTATTACCTTGTTCTTTTCTAGAAACTGTACCTCCCACACAATGTTGTAAGTATTTGTATATGTCTCTCTCCTCCACTGATCTCTGTAGCTCAGAGCCTAGCTCAGTCTGGCAAACAGCAAATACTCAATAGATGTTTATTTAATGGTTCAATAAATAAGGGGAGAGGGAGGGAGAAATAGGAGGAAGTATCAGGTCGGGTTTTACTGTTGGCGGTAAAAGGAACCATTCTTTTAGCCCCAGGCTACTAACCTTCAGGAAAATTGCCAACTCCAGCTCAGTGCCACAAATCAGTCTCTGATGTTATAACAGGAGGAAAGACCAGAGAGAACAGAGAGAAGATGAGAAAAAAATATAGAGAGACATAGTGGTAGATAGATAATAACCCCAACCAAAGGCATTTACATCCTATTCACTAGAACCTGTGAATATGTTAACTGAGTGGAAAGGACTTTGCAGATGTGATTAAATTAAGGATCTTGAGGTAGATTATCCTGAATTGTGCACGTGGGACTAACAGAATCACAAATGTCCTTATGAAAGAAAGAGGGAGGAAGGAGAATCAAAGTCAGAGGAGATGTGACTATGGAAGCAGAGATCAGACTGATGCAATTGCTGGCTGGATGCCATAGGCCACAAAGTGTGGACAGCTTCCAAGATGGAAAATTCAAAAAATGATTCTCCCCTAGAGCCTCCAGCAAGATCACAATTGATACCATTAAAAAAATATATATGCGTGCGTGTATGCGTGCGTGCGTGCGTGTTTAGATTTTAGTTAGAGGAAGGGAGAAGGAAAGAGAGAAACATCAATCAGCTGCCTCCTTCATGACCCCTACTGGGGATCAAGTCCTCAACCCAGGCATGTGCCCTGACCAGGAATGGAACCAGTGACCTCTCAGTACATGGGATTGCTCAATCCACTAAGCCACCTCAGCCGGGCTTATTTATTCAGAGAGACAGGAAGGGAGAAGGAGAGAGAGAGAGAGAGAGAGAGAGAGAGAGAGAAGCATTGATCACCTCCTGTACCCATCCCGACAGGAGACTGAACCCACAACCTGGTCATGTGAATTGACCAGTAATTGAACCAAGTGACCTTTTTTCACTTTTTATTTTAATCCTCACCTGAGAACATTTTTGTATTTATCTTCAGATAGAGTGGGAGAAAGAGAGGGAGGAAGAAAGAGGGAGGAAGAGAGAGAGAGAAACATTGACGTGAGAGAGACACATTGAGTGGATGCCACCCACAAGACCCTACCTGGGGCAGGGGACAAACTCCAACCGAGGTATGTGCCCTTAGTGGAAACCGAATCCGGGACTCTCTGGTCCATGGGCTGATGCTCTAACTGCTGAGCCAAACCAGCAAGGGCCAAACCAGCGACCTTTTGGTGCATGGAACAATGGTCAACCAACTGAGTCACAACGGCCAGGGCATAATGTAAGTGATTTAAAAGGAATTTTAATAAGCAATCCAAAAGATGTGGTATTTTTTATTTCTATAACATTTAAATATGAGAACAAATAAAAATAAGAGCCTTAATTGCCATATGATATGACTTTTTTTTTTTTTGGTATGTGCCCCTAGCCGCTAGGGCCTAGCAGAAACTGGACCCAGGACTCTGTTCCGCAGGCCGACGCTCCAACCGCTGAGCCAACCGGCCAGGGCTACGATATGACTTTTTAAAAAATATGTTTTTATTGATTTTTTTTTAGAGAGGGTGAGGAAGGGAGAGAGAGATAGAACATTGATGTGAGAGAGAAACATCAATCGGCTGCCTCCTGTGAGTCCCCTACGCGGGACTGAGTCCAAAACCTGGGCATGTGCCCTGACCAGGAATTAAACTGGGACCTTTCAGTCCATGGGACAATGCTCAGTCCATTGAGCCACACTGGCAGGGCTGATCTGACTTTTTAATATGGAGGTCCTGACCACCTAATTTGTTTATCTGCATTATCTCTCTCCAACAACCATACTCACCAACATAGATGTCAGATATCTGGGAAATGTGGGAAAAACTAATTTCTACATAAATTTATATATACATTTATATCTCATGGCCAGAGTTCAACAAACAACTTACTTCCCTTTATCCTTCAACCATTCTGGGTTCTTTTCTTCTTCTTTTAAATCACTAAGTTCAGGAATATCAGTATTCATTGCTCTTCGTGCCTCTGCTTGTTTGTGTAGCCACTGAAATGAAAATGAAGTCTTTTAGATGTTCCATCTTCCTACATAAGACGGAAATACTATTTTTTATAGACTGAATGTTTGTATCCCCTTAAATTCATATATTAAAGTCATAACCACCAATGTGATGGTGTTTGGAGGTGGGGTCATTGGGAGGTAATTAGGTTCAGATAAAGTCATGAGGTCAGGGCGCACATGATAGAATTAGTGACCTTTCAGAAGAGGAAGAGACCAGAATGCAGGTTTTCCCTCCACCTCCAACCCTCGCACCCTAATCATGGACTTCTCAGAACTGGGAAATAAATGTCTGTTGTTTAAGTCACACCCAATCTATGGTATTTTGTTATAGCAGCCCAAGCAAACTGATACAATATTTGAAGAAGGTGATTTTAAAACGTCCAGTTTTTATACATTTAAAATATATCTTTTAAAACTTTACTAGCTGGTTAAGATTAAATGTATAAAAATTTCTAGTCCAAATTTCATCCAAATTTAAGAGTTCATGTGAGTATTATTTCATTTTCCTTTTTCTATATTGAAAAACAGTTTTATAATTAATATTTTACAATAATATAATAGTAAAAGATAAAAAGTATTACGTTGTTTAATAAAAATATGTTAATATTTATAAATTGTTATAATGTCTTAAGTATCTTCAATTAATTCCACAACTTTTTTTTTTCTTGGTGGGATGGTGATGGGTTGTGGTGGGGTGTGGTGGCAGTGGTGGAGGTGGTGGAGGTGCTGGTGGTGGTGGTGGTGGTGGAGGTGAAGGTGGTGGGGTGGAGGTGGTGGTGGTGGTGGTGGTGGAAGTGGTAGAGGTGGTGGTGGTGAAGGTAGTGGTGATGGTTGAGGTAGGTGTGGTGGTGGTTGTGGTGGTGAGGCAGAGGTGGTCATGGTAGAGGCGGTGATGGTGGAGGTGGTTGTGGTGGTGGTGGTGGAGTGGCGGTGGAGGTGGTAGAGGTGGTAGAGGCAGTGATGGTGGAGGTGATGTTGGAGGTGATGGTGGTGGTGGTGGTGGTTGTGGTGGTGAGGCAGAGGTGGTCACGGTAAAGGTGGTGATGGTGGAGGTGGAGGTGGAGATGGTGGTGGTGGTGGAGATGGTGGAGGTGAAGGTGGTGGTGGTGGTGGTGAATGTGGTAGTGGTGGTGGAGATGGTGGTGGTGGAGGTGGTAAAGGTTGTGGACGTGGTGGTGGTAGAGGTGGTGGTGGTAATGGTGGAGGTGGTGGTAGAGGTGGTGAGGGTGGAAGTGGTGGAGGTGGAAGTGGTGGTGGTAGTGGTGGTGGAGGTGGTGATGGAGATGGAGGTGGTCATGGTGGTGGTGGTGGAGGCGGTAGTGATGGTGGTGGTGGTGGTGGTGGTTGTGGTAGTAGAGGTAGAGGTGGTCACAGTGGTGGAGATGGTGGTGGTGGTGGAGGTGGTGTGGTGGAGGTGGTAGAAGTGGTGATGGTGGTGGTTGAGCTGGTGGTTGTGGTTGTGGTGGTGAGGCAGAGGTGGTCATGGTGGAGGCAGTGGTGTTGAGGTGGAAATGGTGGTGGTGGTGGTGGTGGTGTGGAGGTGGAGGTGGTGGTGGTGGAGGTGGAGGTGGTGGTGGTGGAGGTGGAGGTGGTGGAGGTGGTGGAGATGGTGGAGGTGAAGATGGTGGAAGTGACAGTGGTCATGGTGGAGGTGGTGGAAGTGGTGGTGGTGGTGGTTGTGGTTGTGGTGGTGAGGCAGAGGTGGTCATGGTGGAGGCAGTGGTGTTGAGGTGGAGATGGTGGTGGAGATGGTGGTGGGGTAGAGGTTGTGGTGGTGGAGGCGAAGGTGGTGGAGGTGCTGGAGATGGTGGAGGTGAAGGTGGTGGAGTTGGTGATGGAGTTAGTGGTGGTAGAGGTGGTGATGATGGTGGTGTATTTCCACAACCCCCCCCCCTTTCATCTTGAGGATATGTCTATTGATTTTAAAGAAAGAGGAAGGAGAGAGAGAGAACAACATTGATGTGAGAGAGAAATACTGAGCATCTGCATTGTGTGTGCATCCTGACCGGGAATGGAACCACAACCTTTTTGTGTTTGTAATGATATTCCAAACAAATGAGCCTCCGGCCTGGGCCAGTTCCACAATTTTTCAATTGAGAGAGGTATTAGTTCACACCTTACCATAAAGAAATGCAGTTGTTATTGCTTATATAACTAAAGATACAATATTTAAAATCCCAAAGCTCAGGAATTTATAAATGAATGACAGATATTAATTCCAAGGCATCAAATATTAGAATACCTAATATTAATAAATTTTCAAATCTGATCCAAACTTTACAAAGCTATTATAGAAAATGATGTATTTGATCAAATAAATGACAAGTGCATCAGTTTATCTCCTGGAATAAGCAAGAAGACTATGGCATATTAAACCAGTGTTCTATCATCAGCATTCTGGAGCCAAAAAATAACCCTGCTAAATATATTTTTCTCATAAGGAAATACTAAAATACATTCATGAAGTAATGTTTTTAGTTTAATAAATAATTTAAAAACTCAGACCCATTATTTGTGTTGAACAGATGAAATAAAAAATAAAATATTTTCATTGCGGTCATTGTAACTAACAGCAAGTACACCCACCTCCTCTTCTTCTGCTACTTGTGATTCCCGGAGAGCAGTTGGAAATACTCGAGGGGTGAAGTTGATTTTAATATTGCCAACAGAGCGAGGAGCAGGAATACTATCTTCCTTTAACTTCTCAGAAAATATATTTTCTGAGTGTCTCCCTTCAAAAACAAGATTAGTAATTTATTTCTCATTTTCTAATTAATAGTCAAATTTAAAAATTCATTTAAAAGCAGCATCAAAAAATTTAAGTAGCATCACAGCTACTTGTAAAATCCTACACAAGTAAACCAAGAATACTTTCTACAAGGAGTATAAAATCCATCAATGAAAGTACAGCAGCTAATTATCTGTTCTTGTTGGTATTGTTAATCCTCACCCAAGAATATTTTTCCATTGACTTTTTTAGAGAGAGTGGAAGGGAGGTGGGGGGAGTGGATAGAGAGAGAGACATCGATGTGAGAGAGACACATCCATTGGTTGCCTCCCACATGACCCTGACTGAGCTGGGGATCAAACCTGCAACCCAGGCACATGCCCTTGACTGGAATTGAACCTAGGATTCATTGGTCCACGGGCCAATGCTCTAACTGCTGAGTAAAACCAGCCAGGGCAATAAAAATATATTAAAGAGAAAAAAAGAAAAGGATTAGGTGTTGTTATATGCCAAACCTGAGACAACAGAATGGGAATAGAAGAAGTAATGCATAATACTTACGGACCATCATCTTACAAGTAAATCTAAAAAAAAAAAAAGCCAACTGCAGCATCTACCTTGGACCCAGAGATGAAATCCAAATGGGTTTTTATTGTTGTTGTTAATTCTCACCCAAGCCCTGGCCGGTTTGGCTCAGCGGTTAGAGCGTCGACCTGCGGTCCTGAGAGACCTGGGTTCGGTTCCCGCTAAGGGCATGTACCTCGGTTGCAGTTTGTCCCCGGCCCTGGTCGGTTGTGCGGGTGGCAACCACTCGATGTGTTCCTTTCACATCGATGTTTCTCTCTCTCTCTCTGTTCCTCTCTCTCCCTCCCACTCTACCTGAACGAAAAGTGGAAAAATGTCCTCGGGTGAGGAAAAAAAATAAAATAAATAAAAAAAAAAAAAAAAAAAAATAATTCTCACCCAAGGATATTTACAGAGAGTGGAAATGAGGGAAGGAGGAGGAGGAGGAGGAGGAGGAGGAGGAGGAGGAGGAGGAGGAGGAGAGAGAGAGAGAGAGAGAGAGAGAGAGAGAGAGAGAGAGAGAGAGAGAGAGAAACATTGATATGAGACACACGGATCGGTTGCCTGCAGGAATCAAACCCACAACCCTACAGGGTGCAGGCCAACGCTCTAACCACTTAGCGACACCAGTCAGGGCCCAAATAGGTTTTGTTTTCTTTTAATTCTCACCCAATAATACTTTTCTTCCATTTATCTTCAGAAAGAGAGAGAAAAAAAAACATTGATGTGAGAGAGACACATCGATTGGTTGCCTCCCTCATGATTCCAACCAGGGCTAGAGACCAAGGTACATGCCCTTGACCAGAATCAAACCCACAACTCTTTGGTCCACTGACCGGCGCTCTACTGCTGAGCCAAACCAGCCAGGGTCCCAGATTGGTTTTTAAAAACAGTAGAGAACACACACAAAAATGTTGTGGATACGATTTTATTTTATTTTTTAATCCTCACCCAAGGATATTTTTCCATCGATTTTTTGATAGAGAGGAAAGGAGGGAGGGAGGGAGGGAGGGAGGGAGAGAGAGAGAGAGAGAGAGAGAGAGAGAGAGAGAGAGAGAGAAACATCAATGTGAGAAGGACACATCAATTGGTTGCCTTCTGCAGGGCTCCAACCAGGGCTGGGGACTGAACCGCAACCGTGATACGTGCCCTTGCTGGAATCCAACCCATGACTCTTTAGTCTGAGCGCTGACACACAAACTGCTGAGCCAAACTGGTCAGGGCTGTGGGTAAGATTTTAAACATTAATACAAGAGAAAGAAACAGAATAAAACATAAACATTAAATATATAACTTCAGACTATTATATTAATAATTCTATGCATTTGGACACTAAAAAAAAATTCTCCCAAATAGCTTAAGGGCCAAAGAAAAAATCATGATGAGTCACAAAATATTTGTAACTTAAATGACAACAAGACACAAGGTATCAGAACTTGATGAATGTATTAACATAGCACTTAACAGAAAAATATTTTCCAATGTATGTATTAAAAGATTCAAGCCCTGGCCAGTTTGGCTCAGCGGTTAGAGCGTCAGCCTGCAGTCCAGAGAGACCCGGGTTCGGTTCCCACTAAGGGCGCGTACCTCGGTTGCAGTTTGTCCCTGGCTCTAGTTGGTCATGTGGGTGGCAGTCACTCGATGTGTCCCTTTCACGTCGATATTTCTCTCTCTCTCTCTCTCTCTCTCTCTCTCTTCCACTCCCTCCCTCCCACTCTATCTGAACAAAAAATGGAAAAATGTCCTCGGGTGAGGATAAAAAAAAAAAACAGATTCAAAAAATTAATGAAAACAAGTTTGACAAAGAACAGAGAAAACCCCAAAGCAGCAAATACAATAAAAGCAAACACAGGAATTAAGGAAACAGAAAAAAAGAAACAATATCAAGGATCAACAAAACCAAAAATACTTTTTTGAACAGACCAAGAAAATTTGCAAAATGTTGCAATAGTTGATCAAGGAAAAATAAAATGGTATTAGGAATAAAGAAATGATATAATTATAGACAACATAGAGATAATAAGAGAAACTTTATGCCAAAAAATTTGGAAAGATAATATGCATAATTTCCTAGAAAACAAATTCCCAAAATTGACTTGCAAAAAACAGTACCTATGAATAACCAGTAACTATTACAGAAAATAAATGCACTTTCATAAATAATCCATGCCTAGACAGAGTTAGAAGCAGTTTTACTGAACCTTCAAGCAATAGACATTTCATATGTAACCAAATTGCTTCAAGGAGCAGAAAAAGAAAACAGCACCATAATTTATAGAGTGTAATTTGGTATCAAATCTGGACAAGAACAGTATGAGGAAAAAAGAAATGTAAGTGGCCCTGGCCAGTTTGGCTCAGCAGTTAGAGAGTTGGCCCGCAGACCAGAGAGTCCCGGGTTCAGTTCCTGCTCAGTGCACATACCTTGGTTGCGGTTCGTCCCTGGCCCCAGTTGGGGTTGTGCGGTTGGCAACCAGTCAGTGTCTCTCTCACGTCGATGTTTTTCTCTCTCTCCCCTCTCTCCCTCCTGCTCTATCTGAAGATAAATGCAAAAGTGTCCTTGGGTGAGGATAAAAAAGAAAAAAAAAAAAAAGAAATGTAAGTGTACCTGCCCTGGCCAGGTAGTTCAGTTGGTTAGAGCACTGTCCTGATGTGCCCGGAGAAAGCACATAACAAGAAGCAACCAATGCATGCATAAATAAGTGGAACAACAAATTGATGTCTCTCTCTCTCAAATAAATAAAAAATAAAAAAATTTTTTAAGTGAATCTCAAGCCCAGCCAGTGTGGTTCAGTGGTTGAGCACTGACCCATGCACCAAGAGATCACCAGTTCTATTCCTGGTCAGGACACATGCCCAGGTTATGGACCCGATCCCCAGTTGGGGGCGTGAAGGAGGCAGCCAATTGATGTTCTTGCTCACCGATGTTTCTGTTTCTCTCTCCCTCTCCCTTCCATTCTCTGAAAATATCAATAAAAACAAAAACATTTTTAAAGTGAATCTCAAGCCCTTGGCCTGGTAGCTAAGTGGTTAGAGCGTTGGCCTGAGGACCAAACTGTTACAGGTTCAATTTCCGACCCCAGTAGGGATCGTTTGGGAGGCAACCTATCTGTGTATCTCTCACATCAATGTTTCTTTTCTCTCTCTCTCTCCCTCCTTCCCTTCCACTCTATCTAAAAAATCAGTGGAGAAATATTCTACGGTAAGGATTAACAACAACAACAAAAATGGTAACTCTCAATATGAAGATAAACATAAAAATAATTTATAAAATATTAGTAAACTGAATTAAGCTGTGTAAATATAAGTATGATCAAGATCTTGAGGATACTTTTTATCTATAAAAATGTGTTTGGGTTTCAAAAGTATTTGATAACCTTTTTTTTTTTTTTTTTTTTAGCAGTATTTGAAATTAGAAAGGAAATGTTTTCATATACTGTGGTTGGTATATATATTTTGCTGAAATGTCATTAAAGAAGGAAGTATTGTGTTAGTTAACTTGCATGTCAGTATTAAACTTATAGCCCTTTGCAAGTATGGCTCAGTGGTTGGAGTGTCAGCCCTCGGACCAAAGAGTCTTGGGTTTGATTCCAGTCAAGGTGGCCATGTACCTCGGTTGTGGTTCAGTCCTGGCCCTGGCTGAGGTCATGCGGGAGGCAACCAATCAATGTGTCTCTCTCACACTGGTGTTTCTCTCTCTTTCTCTCTCTCTTTCTCTCTCTCTCTCCCCATCCTTTTCACTTTATCTGAAAATAAATGGAAAAATGTCCTCGGGTAAAGATTTAAAAATATGTATATATTAAACTACAATAAAATATATAAATTTAATAATGGTTATTGCTTAGTATTTACTCCAAATGACTTTTCTGTATGCTAGACCTCTGTGAAAGTAGTAATGACATATAGCTGAGTTGAACGAGCATAGGTTTCAGATGCAGACAGATCCGAGTTCAAATCCCACAGGATTACTTATTGGGTACTTGTTTATCCTTTCTGAACATCTATCTCCTCTAAAAAAAAGGACAGCAGCACTTACCACAAAGTGTTGTGAAGAATGAGTGATACATCCAATAAAGTCACCTGGCATAGCATGATCACCAATAAATGTTAATTATTATTATTACATGAGTAATTTTACTATAAAATGTTCCATTTGCTAAATACACACAAAACAAAGTTTAATTGTCTAAGATGAGATAAAACCAAACTCTTAGCTTTCAATAAATAAATATGTTCTTTTAATTATTTTTTAACACATCAGGATCGAAGTCCAGAACACTTGTTTGCTTAAGATTAAGTTTGCTTAATAGTATTCATTTTCCTGCATCATGTGAGGAAAAAGTCTCTTAATAAAATTCCTAGCTTAACGCTCCAGAAATGAATGAACGTTCCTGGCACTGGCAGTCCTCTCCAAGCCGTTTCGGACATAAGTTAAACACGTATTTAACAGCACCTGCCTAAACTTCAAAAAAAGCAAACAAGCAAATACAACACTGAATCCTTGCTCATTTTATTATAAATACTTCACTACTGCCCTGGCCAGTTTGGCTCAGTGGTTAGAGTGTCAGCCCCAGGACCAATGAGTCACAGGTTTGATTCTGGTCAAGAGCACGTATCTCGGTTGCGGTTCGTCCTCGGCCCTGGTCGGTCGGGTCGTGCTGGAGGCAAACAGTTGATGTGGCTATCACATGGATGTTTCTCTCTCTCTCTCTCTCTCTCTCTCTCTCTCTCTCTCTCTCCCTCCCTCCCTCCCTCCCTCCCTCTCTATCTGATGATAAATAGAAAAGTATCCTTGGGTGAGGAATAAAAATAAAATAAAATAAATAAAAATGATAATAAACTCTTCACTACTTCCTAGAAGAAAAAAATAAATCTTTCACCTTAGTCTTTGTATGGCAATACTTATTTTCAATATGTCAAAATAATGACCTAATATTGTAAATTGATTACAACAACAACAAAAGTGACCTTTGTACTTCACCTTCAGGACTCACTTTCGCAGACAGTACTGAAGTAATCATCGTACCTTGTGTGGTGAGATTTTTAGATGTTGAATTTCTAGTAAGACTTTTATGTTTTACTTTTTCCCCCTCTTCTATTTGCTTTTCTTGTTCATGTAACTTCTCTTCTGTCTGAATTATTTTTTGTTCTTCAGCTTTTCTTTGACATTTTTTCCAGGCTTCCAATTCTTTAGTTGCTTTTATCCGTTCATTTTCTTTCATATTTTCTATTTTATTCCTCTCTTCTTCTTCAATCTGTAAAAATTACAATTACCAACACTTTTAAAACATTTAAAAAAAAATAACTCATAATATCTAACTATTCTTACCTCTAAACTCTTGTCATTGTATCTGCAGTAATAATTAGTAATGAATAAAGCATTAAAATGCAAATGGAGCCCTGGCCGGTTTGGCTCAGCGGTTAGAGCATCAGCCTGCAGTCCAGAGAGACCTGGGTTCGGTTCCCGCTAAGGGCATGTACCTCGGTTGCAGTTTGTCCCTGGCCCTGGTTGGGTCGTGTGGGTGGCAACCACTTGATGTATCCCTTTCACGTCGATCTCTCTCTCTCTCTCTCTCTCTCTCTCTCTCTCTCTTCCTCCCACTCTATCTGAACAAAAAACAAAAAATGTCCTCGGGTGAGGATTAAAAAAAGAAAAATGTGAATGGTAAATGATTTAGCAAAATGCCCAATGATTTGGGTGTCACAAAACAGATTTTAGTTCAGATTTACCATTACATATTGATACAAGGCAATCACTTTTTTTTTTTTTTTATCCTCACCCGAGGATACTTTTTGATATTTTGTTCAGATACAGTGGGAGGGAGAGAGAGAGAGAAAAAACATCCACGTGAAAGGGACACATTGAGTGGTTGCCACCCACACAACCCAACCAGGGCCGGGGACAAACTGCAACCGAGGTACGCGCCCTTAGCGGGAACCAAACGCCAGTCTTTCCAGACCACAGGCCAATGCTCTAACTGCTGAGCCAAACCAGCCAGGGTGACAGTCACTTTCTCAAGCTTCATATGAGTTTAATCATATGTAAAATGTGGGTGGGCATTCAATTAAATAGTATCGAAGGGCTTGGTAGAAAAAAAATTTTTCTAAAAGTTGTCACTTCTCCCAAAACCTAAACGCACACTTGCCTTTCTGCTTATGCCAATCTTACCTTGTTTTAGGACTGAAGTTGTGCCAACCTTCACCTGAGTAGTGAGGGAATATTTAGAAGAAAAATAGGTAGGATGAATTAAGGAGTTTGTCTTTGGTGGGTGAAAATGTTTGAACTTGGAATCCCATTGTCAACTATGTTTTCCATGGCTGGTATTTGAAACTTCCAGGTGTAAAGCTAAACATCAGATAAGTTTGAAAGCAGTATATGGCACAGAAGTATGCTTCCTTTCTCCTTTCACAAGATAATAAAACTGAAAAAGAGTAACTGTTCAGTGTATATGACTGACTCTACGTATCTTCTTTTCCTATGGTAATAAAAATATTCTCATCTTGCCCTGGCTGGGTGGCTCGGTTGGTTGGAGTGTCGTCCCTTATACCAAAAGGTTGTGGGTTCAATTCCTGGTCAGAGTACATACCCAGCTTGCAGGTTCAGGCTCTGGTTGTGGCGCATATGGGAGGCAACTGATTGATGTTTCTCTCTCCCTGTCTCTTTCTCTCTCTCCTCCCCCCTTTCTCCCTCTCTAAAAATTAATAAAAGCATATTCTAGGATGAGGATTAAAATTAATTAATTAATTAATTAATTAATTAATTAATTAATTCTCACTCTCCTTTAGAGAACAAAAATTCTCAATCCTATCCTCTAGAGAAGCAATGTCCAACAGAACTTCTTTCCGTGATGGTAATGTTCTGTGCTATCCAAGTCAGTAGCCACTACCATGTATGGCTAATTAAGCACTTACAAGGTGACCAGTATGACTGAGAAACTGATTTTTAATTTCATTTGTTTTATTAATTTACATGTAAATTAACATACACGTAAGTAAACATACATGTAAATAATACACCTGGCACAGCAATAGAATGACATGGTGGGACTAAGTTTCCTAGAGGCTGAATTATTTTAGGACATAGAATTAACATTATCAGTATGAAAATTATATTGAAGAAGTGCTCTGTAACATCTGCATGCTTTAATACCCTCTTCTGGAAGACTGGTTATTTTCCTATTGAACAGTGTAACATTGACTTTAAAATAAATTTCACAGATTACTGAACAGTAGTTTCCTGGCATCCCAGAACTGTACCTGAGGCTTTAACTAAGCACAACAGATGCTAATTACTACCTGTTCTAAGTTTGGAGAGCTGCCAATAGGTTGGGCCAGGAAGAATTTGCATGTGGCAATGAGCCAGCTTTTAATGCCTGACAACAGGGCATGATGAACAGTGTTAGCCAGAGGCAGCCACCACCTAAAAGGAGAAGATGACAGCTTCACCCAGTTTGATAATATGTTTGCCTTTTTCTCTTTCCTCCCTCTCTTCCCAACATGGAAGAAGGGAAGAGTATGTGAAAAGTCAATACTCTCATCCCTCATAATCCCTGCAAGTGGAGTGAAGTTTGAAAAGTTTTTAAAATTGCTGAGACAGTCTTAATTACCAAAAATGAGACTCTTCTTATAATCAAAAGTAAAAGGAAAGTTCTGTTATTATAGCTAAGATGTAGTTAAGGGAAATATATATATATATATATATATATATATATAAAATTAAATTTGTAGTAAGCTAACTTAGAGACAAAAAAAAAATAGTCTAACTCTTTAGGGAGTCATATAGAAGAAGAGGTACCGAGACAGACTTCAGAGAGCACGTGACAGAAGGAATTCGGAAAAAAAATAACCGGAGGAAGGTAATACCACAAAGCTTATGATAAAAGGAAAAGAGAGACTATATATCAAAGAGAAACAGAGACAGACAAATGTTAAACAATCCTTGAAGTTCTTTTATTTAAAAACAAAGCAATATGGGGAATATACCACATAAAGGAGGAATGTTTAGTAACAGAAAAACTGAGAAGGCTACAAAAACAATCATCACACATGAAGACACTGAATTATGCTTTATACTTCTCAAAAAAGAATGCCATAAAGCATAAAATATTAGTTTACTGCAGACAGCAAATTTAACTAATAGGAGAGTAATGAGCAATTCCTGAAGAAGGGGAAGTCTATATTTCTTTTAATTTAGAATGAGTGATTTATCAAGGCATTTGATCTTTATAAATCAATCTTACTTATGAATTGCATGCAAAAATTGTAAATAATATATTAGCACACTGAACTAAGAAAAATATTAAAATTATAATACATCTTGATCAAATAGGGTGTTTTTCATTTATGATATTAGGAAATCAAACGAGAAAAACAGCATGGCTGGTGTGGCTCAGTGGTTGAGTATTAACCCATGCACCAAGAGGTCGCCAGCTCAATTCTTGGTCAGGGCACATGCCCAGTTTGTGGGTCCGATCCCCAGTGGGGGCCATGCAGGAGGCAGCCAATCGATGTTCTCTCTCATTGATGTTTTTATCTCTCTCTCCCTTTCTCTCTAAAATCAATAAAGAAAAAACATTGTTGGGTGTTTTTTTTAAGTAAGTCTGAAGAAATGGAGATAAATATGTTCCTGGAGGGAACTCTCATTATTGTAAATTTGTTGATGTTCTGCAAAGGAATTTTTAAAAGTCAATGCAAATCTAATCAAAATACCAAGAGAACTTCTTAGAGAGCTTGATAAATAAATGTAAAATTCATCTGCAAAAGAAAATGTGCAGGTTTTATGGAGGCACGAAGAGGTTGGCAATTTCCATCCACAAATATAAAGTATAAAACTAGACAAATCTATAAAAAACAACTATTTCAAGGCACTGGAAATTAACCAAAGACAGCCTGCAAAATGAGAAATGTTTGTTCTAGAAAAACTGCTGAAGTTACAGGTAAGAACAGTGGGAGGCTGTGCCCTCCAGCCTGAGGTTGCTCTCAACCACCCACTTCCAGCTAGAATAACAAGACAGGCAGTTTTTACCAACATAAAGCTAACAACAACAACAAAAAACCCAGCAGCTTTGTTGGCAAAAAGGGTGGACCCATTTCAGGGTGGGGCAGCAAACCCTTGTGGCTTTGGTGGATAAAAGCAGTAGACTTTGGTTGGGAATGAACAGAGAAAATTTGCAGTTGAGGGCTGAGGTTGAGGTCCTGGTTAGGGTGAATGCCCTGACTAGTCAGAAAATTCACATAAAGTTCATATAAATGAGAGAGTTATAGAAAGTCTGTGATAAACTCACCATATAACCCTGGCTAAACAGAGAGCTCTGTATTTGTGGGGGAGGCCTGACGAACCCTGGCATGAAATGAAGCCAAGGGAGACATGAGAACTGGCTCCAACTGTGACGGTATTCTCAAACCTACACCCAGATCAATTGGCAAAGAATGGGAGCCTTTACCACCCTTGCCCAAAACATTAGCTAACTATTAAGCTATACAGACACAGGAAAGACCCCTATGGAAGCCAGTCTAAAAAATAGGAATTAAAAAACTTAGCAGAGACATCAGCAGCTGTGCACCCAAGGGAGACTAGACTGATTCCACAATTAAAGTCTAGGCAAGTTACTAAAAAATAAACAATTGCGAATAAATAAGCAGATTAATTAATTAATTAATTAAACAGAACCCGGAGTTGCTATAATCTACTAATTAAAATGTCTAGTTTCAACTGAAAATATTTCAAAAAACAATTGGTAAAAACTTCTCAAATTTGATGGAGTAAATTAATCTATAGCTTCAATAAGTTCAACAGATCTAAAGTAAAATAAGTACAAATATATACTCCTCAGTACAACCTAGTTAAACTGCAAAATTAGTACAAAGCTAAACACAAAGAAGAAAATCTTAAAAGAAGCAAGAGAAAAAAGATTGATCCTGTACAAGGAACAACAATACAGTTAAAGGCTGATTTCTCATTAGAAACAATGGAGGACAGAAGACAGTGAAATGACATGTTCAAAGCACCAAAAGAAAAAAACTACAAGCCACAAATTCTACAAAAAACAAAACCATTCTTTAAAAATGAAGATGACTCTTCCTTTTTCTTGTTAATCCTCACCCGAGGATATTTTTCCAATGATGACTCTTCCTGACATCTTTCCATGCTGCTGTAATGGTTCGCATGAATATCCTGGCTGATGCTCTCATGAGTATCAACAATGCCAGGTTCTTATTAAGCCGTGCACCATCCAGTTAATAACTAATGATGAAG